TTCTGTTGTTTTCCATGGGAAATGGCTTCTGTTAACATTGATTTGGCATTCCCAGTATTCCCAATATTCCCAGTATTCCCAATAACCCTAATTCCCAAAAAATCCCTGGAATTCCATTGTTTTCCATGGAAAAAAGGCTCCTGGTTCACCTGGATTTGGCATTCCCAGCATTCCCAGTATTCCCAATAACCCTAATTCCCAAAAAATCCCTGGAATTCTGTCATTTTTAATGGAAAAAAGGCTCCTGTTCACCTGGATTTGGCATTCCCAGCATTCCCAGTAACCCAAATTCCCAAATTCATTCCCAAATTTCCCCAAAAAACCCCAAAATCCCCAAAATTCCATCGTTTTCCATGGAAAAAAGGCTCCAATTTGTCTGGATTTGGCATTCCCAGCATTCCCAGTAACCCAAATTCCCAAATTCATTCCCGAATTTCAAAAAAAACCCCCAAAATCCCTGGAATTCTGTCATTTTCCATGGAAAAAAGGCTCCAATTTGCCTGGATTTGGCATTCCCAGCATTCCCAGTATTCCAAATAACCCTAATTCCCAAAAAATCCCTGGAATTCTGTCATTTTTAATGGAAAAAGGGCTCCAATTTGCCTGGATTTGGCATTCCCAGCATTCCCAGTAACCCAAATTCCCAAATTCATTCCCAAATTTCCCCAAAAAACCCCAAAATCCCTGGAATTCTCTCATTTTCCATGGAAAAAAGGCTCCAATTTGCCTGGATTTGGCATTCCCAGCATTCCCAGTAACCCTAATTCCCAAATTCATTCCCGAATTTCAAAAAAAAACCCCAAAATCCCTGGAATTCTGTCATTTTCCATGGAAAAAAGGCTCCTGTTCACCTGGATTTGGCATTCCCAGCATTCCCAGTAACCCAAATTCCCAAATTCATTCCCAAGTTTCCCCAAAAAACCCCAAAATCCCTGGAATTCTGTCATTTTCCATGGAAAAAAGGCTCCAATTTGCCTGGATTTGGCATTCCCAGCATTCCCAGTATTCCAAATAACCCTAATTCCCAAAAAATCCCTGGAATTCTGTCATTTTTAATGGAAAAAGGGCTCCAATTTGCCTGGATTTGGCATTCCCAGTATTCCCAGTAACCCAAATTCCCAAATTCATTCCCAAATTTCAAAAAAAAAACCAAAATCCCTGGAATTTCATCATTTTCCATGGAAAAAAGGCTCCTGTTCACCTGGATTTGGCATTCCCAGCATTCCCAGTAACCCAAATTCCCAAAAATCCCTGGAATTCTCTCATTTTCCATGGAAAAAAGGCTCCAATTTGCCTGGATTTGGCATTCCCAGCATTCCCAGTAACCCAAATTCCCAAATTCATTCCCAAATTTCCCCAAAAAACCCCAAAATCCCTGGAATTCTCTCATTTTCCATGGAAAAAAGGCTCCAATTTGCCTGGATTTGGCATTCCCAGTAACCCAAATTCCCAAATTCCCAAATTAATTCCCAAATTTCCCCAAAAAACCCCAAAATTCCATCATTTTCCATGGGAAAAAAACCTCCTATTCCCAAAAATAACCCCCAAAATTCCATCATTTTTATTTTAGGAATTCATGGAAATATTTTGGGGGATTTTTTTGGAATTTTTTTGGGGATTTCTCCGGATTTTTTTTGGAAATTTGGGGGAATTTTGGGGATTTTTTTTATTGGGATTTTTCAGGAATTTTTGGTATTTTTTTTACATTTTTTTGGCATTTATAGGAAATTTTTTTTAGGAATTTTGGGGTGGATTTTTCCAGAATTTTGTGGATTTTTCAGGAGATTTTCCAAAGATTTTCCAGGAATTCCTGAACATATCCCAGAAAATTCTTCAGGAATTTTTGGTATTTTTTTAAAATTTTTTTGGGCGTTTTCAGGAGTTTTTTCAGGAATTTTGAGGTGAATTCTTCCAGAATTTTGTGGATTTCTTAGGAGATTTTCCATGAATTTTTATAGGAATTCCTGGAGAGATTCCAGAAAATTCTTCAGGAATTTTTAGTATTTTTTTTATATTTTTTTTTGGCATTTTTAGGAAAGATTTCCCGAGATTTTTCCGGAATTTTGGGGGCGGATTTTTCCAGAATTTTGTGGTTTTTCCAGGAGATTTTCCAACGATTTCCCAAAAAATTCCTGGAGAAATCCCAAAAAATTTTCCACGAATTTTCCATATTTTTTTTACATTTTTTTAAACATTTTTCAAGAATTTTTTAAGGAATTTTTTTTTTTTTTCCCTCTGAAACGCGACAGAATTTTGGGAATTTTGGGAATTCCGGGAATTTTGGGAATTCCCACCTGGAGTTTCCTGGCCATGGCCACCACGTCGTGGTCAGGGGGGTTGTACTTGTAGCAGTTGGAGAACATCAACCGGACGTCGGCGGCGAATTCCTGCGCGTCGCGGTATTCCCGGTTCTCCATCTTCCGCTGCCGGGAAAAGAACCGGGAACGTCGGGAAAAGGGGCACGGAAAGGTCATGGAAGGTCAGAGAGGTCATGGAAAGGTCATGGAAGGTCAGAGAGGTCATGGAAAGGTCATGGAAGGTCAATGAGATCATGGAAAGGTCATGGAATGGCAACGGGGTCATGGAAGGGTCATGGAATGGTCAATGGGTCATGGAAGGGTCATGGAAAAGTCAACAGGGTCATGGAAAGGTCATGGAAGGTCAATGGGTCATGGAAGGGTCATGGAAAAGTCAACGGGGTCATGGAAAGGTCATGGAAAAGTCATGGAAAGGTCAATGGGTCATGGAAGGGTCATGGAATGGCAACAGGGTCATGGAAAGGTCATGGAAGGTCAATGAGGTCATGGAAAGGTCATGGAAGGTCAATGAGATCATGGAAAGGTCATGGAAGGTCAATGAGATCATGGAAAGGTCATGGAAGGTCAATGAGGTCATGGAAAGGTCATGGAAGGTCAATGAGGTCATGGAAGGTCATGGAAAAGTCATGGAATGGCAATGGGGTCATGGAAAGGTCATGGAATGGCAACGGGGTCATGGAAGGGTCATGGAATGGTCAATGGGTCATGGAAGGGTCATTGAAGGTCAATGAGGTCATGCAAGGGTCATGGAAAAGTCAACAGGGTCATGGAAAGGTCATGGAAGGTCAATGAGATCATGGAAGGGTCATGGAATGGTCAATGTGATCATGGAAAGTCAATGAGACCATGGAAGGTCATGGAAAGGTCATGGAAGGTCAATGGGATCATGGAAAGGTCATGGAAAGGTCATGGGGTCGTGGAAAGGTCATTGAAAAATCATGGAAAGGTCAATGGGTCGTGGAAAGGTCATGGAAGGCCAATGAGGTCATGGAAGGTCATGGAAAAGTCATGGAATGGTAATGGGGTCATGGAAGGGTCATGAAAGGGTCAATGGGTCATGGAAGGGTCATGGAAGGTCGATGAGATCATGGAAAGGTCATGGAAAGGTCAATGAGGTCATGGAAAGGTCATGGAAGGTCGATGAGGTCATGGAAGGTCATGGAAGGGTCATGGAAAAGTCAACGGGGTCATGGAAAGGTCATGAAATGGCAATGGGGTCATGGAAAGGTCATGGAAGGTCAATGAGGTCATGGTAAGTCATGGAAAGGTCATGGAAGGTCAATGGGATCATGGAAGGGTCATGGAAGGTCAATGAGGTCATGAAAAGGTCATGGAAGGTCAGAGACATCATGGAAAGGTCACGGAAGGTCAATGAGATCATGGAAGGGTCATGGAATGGTCAATGGGTCATGGAAGGGTCATGGAAGGTCAATGAGGTCATGGAAGGGTCATGGAAAAGTCAACGGGGTCATGAAAAGGTTATGGAATGGCAACGGGGTCATGGAAAGGTTATGGAATGGCAACGGGGTCATGGAAAGGTCATGGAAAGGTCATGGAAGGTCAATGAGGTCATGGTAAGTCATGGAAAGGTCATGGAAGGTCAATGGGATCATGGAAAGGTCATGGAATGGTCATGGGGTCATGGAAGGGTCATGGAATGGTCAATGGGTCATGGAAGGTCGATGAGGTCATGGAAGGGTCATGGAAAAGTCAACGAAGTCATGGAAAGGTCATGGAAGGTCAATGAGGTCATGGAAAGGTCATGGAAGGTCAATGAGATCATGGAAAGGTCATGCAACGTGAATGAGATCATGGAAAGGTCATGGAAGGGTCATGGAAAAGTCAACGGGGTCATGGAAAGGTCATGGAATGGCAACGGGGTCATGGAAGGGTCATGGAAGGTCAATGAGGTCATGGAAAGGTCATGGAAGGTCAATGAGATCATGGAAAGGTCATGGAAGGGTCATGGGGTCGTGGAAAGGTCATTGAAAAATCATGGAAAGGTCAACGGGTTATGGAAAGGTCATGGAAGGTCAATGAAGTCATGGAAAGGTCATGGAAGGTCAATGAGGTCATGGAAGGGTCATGGAAAAGTCAATGGGGTCATGGAAAGGTCATGGAATGGCAATGGGGTCATGGAAGGGTCATGGAAGGTGAATGAGGTCATGGTAAGTCATGGAAAGGTCATGGAAGGTCAATGAGGTCATGGAAAGGTCATGGAATGTCAATGGGGTTATGGAAAGGTCATGGAATGGCAACGGGGTCATGGAAAGGTCATGGAAGGTCAATGAGGTCATGGTAAGTCATGGAAAGGTCATGGAAGGTCAATGGGATCATGGAAAGAGGTCATGGAAGGTCATGGAAGGGTCATGGGGTCGTGGAAAGGTCATGGAAGGCCATGGAAGGGTCATGGAAACGTCAATGGAAGGTCAGAGAAATCGTGGAAAGGTCATGGAAGACCAGAGAGATCATGGAAAGGTCATGGAAGGTCAATGAGATCATGGAAGGTCATGGAAAGGTCATGGAAGGTCAATGGGATCATGGAAAGGTCATGGAATGGTCAATGGGTCATGGAAGGGTCATGGAAGGTCAATGAGGTCATGGTAAGGTCATGGAAGGGTCATGGGGTCGTGGCAAGGTCATTGAAAAATCATGGAAAGGTCAATGGGTCATGGAAAGATCATGGAAGGTCAATGAGGTCATGGACAGGTCATGGAAGGGTCATGGAATGGTAATGAGGTCATGGAAAGGTCATGGAAGATCAGAGAGATCATGGAAAGAACATGGAAGGTCAATGAGATCATAGAAAGGTCATGGAACGTCAATGAGATCATGGAAGGTCATGGAAGGGTCATGGAAAAGTCAACGGGGTCATGGAATGGCAACGGGGTCATGGAAGGGTCATGGAAGGGTCACAGGGTCATGAAAGGGTTAATGGAATGGTCAATGGGTCATGGAAAGGTCATGGAAGGTCAATGAGGTCATGGAAAGGTCATGGAAGGTCAGAGAGATCATGGAAGGTCATGGAAGGTCAGTGAGATCATGGAAGGGTCATGGAAGGCCAATGAGGTCATGGAAAGGTCATGGAAGGTCAGAGAAATCGTGGAAAGGTCATGGAAGACCAGAGAGATCATGGAAAGGTCATGGAAGGTCAATGAGATCATGGAAGGTCATGGAAAAGT